TCAATTGCATCAACCAGAAGTGGCTGCAGCGCTTCATCCAGTGCTCCTGCTCCCAAGCCAGCACTTACAAGGAGGGGCACTGGTACTCACGCCTGTTCTCCCTGCCTGTTGCCTAAGCAGGGAGCGCAGCCAGTCAGGGGGTGCACCAGCACTCTCAGGGGGTGCATGTGCACCCTTGGGCACCCCCTATGCATCTCCACTGCTCCTTGGCCTTGAACAGAAGTAGCAAATATGGTTTTTCAGTATCAGAGAAGTTTTCACAGCTGATTCTCCACCCACTGAAGTGGAGACCAACAAGGATAGCCCCAAATTGGCCTGATTCTTTCTCATGCTGAAGGGAAAGATGCAGGAGGGAAGGGCCTGTCTCTGGGTTCCTTCCATTTAAAGATTTTTTTTCACTAAGAGTTTGTTAGTGTTATGTGAATTCATTCTATATAATCTTGATACAAACAAGGAAAATGTAAGAAGTGGTAAGAATTCACTTTAACATCATTCATTGAAGGCCTTTTTGATTTGGTAGAAGAATACCCATAGAAAAAAGGATCCTCATTATCATTTGGTAGCTTTAGCTGGGAGCGCAGGGAACATTCTGTCTCTGGTCTGACACAGCAGAGCAAATAATGGGTGCATTCCACTTCAACTGTGTGTTTCTTTGGTAATGCTTTTTGTGATATAAACCCCACAACGAATCATCACCTTTATACAACCCCTTTATCAAGTACCACTTGCCACTATAGATGGAATATTCACCAGAAAAAAAAAAACTCTTCAAAAAGGAGGATCAACATATATAATATATGGAAATAGCTGAGTACTCCTCAAGCATAAAGTGGAGTTACCTAGGTTGTATGTGCATGGAAAACCTCTCATAGCTTGAGGATGTATCATGCTGTTCAAATCAACAGAATTGCATATAATGAGTAGTTGAAGGAAGCAAGTTTCACATAGCTATATTTAACCCTACACTTTTTTTTCTTTCTCTTTTCAAATCTGCTTTCATACCACAGGATTCCTGCTTCGGCAAGCTGTATACAGTCTGGTTGTTGTATAGGAATAGATGGATTTGGAGATTGCCTGCAATTTAATCAAGGACGTGGGACCAAATTCAAAGTTGATGGGTACTGTGTGCAAGATACCTATTGAGAAATATTTATATGCCCTTGTGTGCATATGGCTACAGGGGTGAAGTGAACTGCACATGTGAACAAAAGTTTAAATGGAAAAATCTTACACATCATGGGTGAAATCCTGACCCCCCTAAAATCAATGATAAAACTCCTATTGAGTTTAGTGGTCCCAGATTTCACCTTAAGAATCTAGAGCAGTGGTTCTCAACCTATTTGCCATAGTGGGCCACACTTGGAGCTCTCAATGCGTTATTTGGGCTGCACCCACACAACTTACTTACTGTGTATCCATTTAACAGGATATCAGACAGGCCACAGCAGTGTGCCACATGCAGCCTGTGGGCCATGGGTTGAAAACCACTGGTCTAGGGGAGCATATAGGTTCAAGTAGTGGATTGGGGGGCTTACTTGCACTTATATATTCTTATGCCTTCTTCTATATTCTATGTTGCTTCTCCTGCTATATCCCTGGCTTCTGACTCCAATTTAAATTCTCTTTCACTAGCCTGAGCACCAGTTCAATGGCTTCTGCCAGAAGAGCTGCAGTTGATGTCAGTATGGCATTTTCTTATAGTAGGAATGCTCATTCTATTTTTAGACTCCTTTCCTTCTAACATTTGCATCTATTACTGATGTCAGACACACACACCTCTGAACTTTTCAAATTGATATAGATATTTTGTATTTGAAAAGATTGCTGCTGGTGAATTTAATGCTATATAATATCAACACTTGCACTTATTAAGAAAACCTCAAGTATATATGTTTTTGACTAGTGTATCATTTTATCTCTAGGAGCACAGGTGATATACAGGAAAGAATATTTAGAATTTAGCACCTTTACTTTAAGACTCTCAAAGCATTTTATGGATAATGATTTCTCATAACAAAATCAAAGAGAAAGCTGCTACAGAATTTAACATTTTCCTACAACATGTACATATATCAAATAAATTCTTTCCATTCATGACAATGGTGTTTCTTTTCCCCCCATTGAAAATCTTTGGTTCTCAACGGGAAGGTGCTCTTTTTTCATACAAGGATTGAGATACCACTGTCTTAAAGTAAAACTTACTGAAGCATAAAGTCTGCCTCTTTTGTTCATTGCCAGGTATCTGCTGGAAAACAAACCTTTGATGGCAACAATTCCAACATCAACTGCAGTTATCTCTAGAATACCTAGAAATAGAAAAAAACAGATGAGAATTGTGTTCCTTCCTCTCCTCTGTAATTTCCTGAGATGCATCTGAAAGGTTGCTTACCTCCAGAAAATCATTTCACCTGTGTGTCGTACACAAAAGGTGATACTGCAAAAAAGACTATACCAAAAAGAGACAATAAAGAACAACAGCAGCAGCATGGGGAATAGCTAGCAAAAAACTTGACAGCAAATCCTTGGTTGTTTGACTGAGACTGAATTATTTCAAGAAGGAAAGAGCTGCCACAGAACTAGCGGTTCACCTAATCCTGTATGTATATAAAAATGTTTAAATCCCCTTTAATTATTTTCTTAGGGATGTGAGAGTGCTTGACTTATTGAAACCAGTCACAAAGCTGCCCATTTCAAGACAATGCTTTTGCTGAGGTCTCCAGAGGGTAAGATGGAGTAAGATGGCTGTGTCTTAGATCCATGAAAGGACTTGTCATTTAGGAAGTCAATGCAGTGCTTGAAACAAGGACAATATGCCTAGCTAAGCCCAATTAAAAGGGAGGAGGTATTTCAGCCCACAGAAGATAGCATATGCCAGAGTGTTTAAACCCAGCCAAAGGAGGCTAAGGTGCCAAGGAGGTTTGAGACCTTAGAGGAAGATGCTGCAGTAGGAGTGATAGGGATACATGTACCTTATTTTTTGCAGTTCTACCCCCAGTGTAGCATTTGGTACACCAGCTCAGTACTGTCTGTAACAGCAAATGTAAAAATCCCCTGATCGTAAACTCACAAGTGTCTTTGGATCACGGTAACACAGAGTGATAAGCTTTTCTCTGTTCCTGAGTTAAACTCTTAGTCCCACTAAGTCTCCAAGATTTAGAATAATTACGGTACAGCTGTTTTGAATCACCCCTTGCCTGAACTCTGAAGGATGTCTCCTAAAAGTCTTTGATAGCGAGGGGTTTTCCTCTAGGAAATCGTGGTTTTCCTTTGCGGACTTCAGACAGATCTCTGAGGTCTCCTATCTCTGTGTGCCATCGCGAGCCAGGGTTTACGCTTTCCTTAAGCATCGCGGGCTGCAGGCTCCCGGGATGGGGCAGCCTGCTCGGCTCGCCCAGGGATGGGGACCCGCAGGTCCGGGCCGCCAGGGAGCCGCGGGGACACCCCGCCCAGAGTCCCCACCTGCAGCCCGCGCCCCTGCTCGGATGTGGAGACAGCCCAGGCTCCCCCTGACTCCTGCCAGATCCCGTTTCATCTCAATTACTGCTGATTTCAAAGGGGGCAGGAGGCACTCGGGCCAGAGCACCTCCTCCAACGAAGAGATCTGGGCAACAACCAGCAGCCTGGGGGTCACTGGCTTGGCTGAGGGCTCCTCAAGGGTCCCTAGGGATCAGGGAAGGGAGGAGACCGACCCCCCACGGCAAAGCAGGGGGCCAGTGCAGGGCACTCGCTCACGGCTTGCCCCCTCCCAGGCGGCCAGGACGGGGGGGCCCGGCGAGCCAAGGTGCCGCAGCTGAGTGAGCTCCGGGCTGCCCCCCTGCAGCCCGCAGCGATGGCAGAGGGATGCTCCTCCTCGCACCGGCTCAGTGGCGCTGGAGGGGGGAGCATCTGATCCTCCCCGTCGCTCCCGGTCTCTGTCCGAGCCCTGAGCACTTCCGTGGGAGTGCCTGCCTGCAAGTCGGGAAGGCGATTTAGGGGCGTTAATGGGTGGGGGAGGCGGGCCCGATCCCTCTGAGCTTCCTTGCCTGGCCTCAGGGGAGGAGGAGCCCGGAGAGGAGCTCCCCCGAAGCGCGCTGGGCTGATCCGCTGCCGCGTCTACACACGTGCAAGGGCCAAGGGTGGGTTGCCAAGGGCAAACCCCGGGCGTGGGGGTGGGGGTGGGGGGGGGGGGAGGAAGGGGGCGGGGG